CCTTTTTTCTTAGGTTAACTGCAGAAAGTTTGTTTTCTTATTTTCACTCTTATAAAAAAGTCTATCCACCAATGCATTGTAGATTCTTTACATATCCTGGTGCTATTGGTTTCTAAAGGAAACTGTTATATTTGGGGGAAGCTCAAGGTCCCAAAGGAAATAAACCCTTCCTTAGTCACTCTCTGCACCTGCTTCTGGGCTGACCCTGAGTTCCTGTGTTCTGTGTGCCTCCTGCTGGAAATGAGCTCCGAAGTTGTTCCTGAGCACAATTCAGGGAGTGTTGTGTGCCTGACTGTGATGTCCCTCAATGTGCTCATCACAGGAATATTTATCTGTCACTTCCACTAACAAAAAAGTGAACCTTGACGATGATATGTTTCTAAAGGTGAATATGAAGTTGCCATTACCACACAGTAAGCCATCCCTTCACTCTAGATGAGGTACTGAGCACTGAGTTTAGTGTGCAGTAGTCAGAAGTAGAATTATCTAATTGATCAGAGAAACAGAAGACATAAAGTTGAAATGCAGTAATGGAGAGAATTTGATAAAACTTCAAGCCTATCACTTCTTAGATTTATATGAGCAGTCCTCAAGAATAGGAGAGGGGCTTGGACAACTCAGAGTGCTTACTTGTGACAGAGCCTGGATCCCCTTCCACTTAGTTCCATATGAATCACTGACACTTTTTCTGTCAAGGGTCCACCCTAACCTCAGTATGAGGGAAAAGTTTATCTGAGCTTCCTGAGCTTAGTCAGCAGCTGATCCTGGTAACCATAGAGAATTACTCTTGCTCTCACTGACAGGTTCTATGGTGATATGCAAGATATTCGTCAATATTGCTATAGGATAGGGTCATTTCAGGTTCCCTATCCTCAACTGCCCAAGGGACTAACTGGGGACATCACCATGGGATCCTGGGAGCCACTCTAGGGTCAAGTCTCTTGCCAACCCTAAGGTGGATCCCTTAACTAAGAATTGTGCTTCCGTGCTCCCCTGTCCAACCTTCCTTTATCCAAATCCTCCTGTTTCCCCAAGTTCCCCCCTCCTTCCCTTCTCACTTTTCTCTCCCCATCTCCCCTTACCCCCATCCCACCCCACCCCCAAGATCCCAATTTTCTCCCCTGCAATTTTGTCTACTTCCCATAGCCAAGAGGATAATTATATGTTTTTCCTTGGGTTCGCCTTCTTATTTAGCTTCCTTAGGTTCACCAATTGTAGTCTCTGATGGCAAAAGCATTTGTTCAACTATGTTCATAGCAGTATTATTTGTAATAGCCAGAACCTGGAAACAACCTAGATGCCCTTCAATGGAAGAATGGATGAAGAAAGTACGGAATATATACACATTAGAGTACTACGCTGTGGTAAAAAACAATGACTTCTCGAATTTTGCATGCAAATAGATGGAAATAGAAAACACTATCCTGAGTGAGGTATCCCAGACCCAAAAAGATGAACATGGGATGTACTCACTCATAATTGGTTTCCTTATGGTTTCTTATAGCTCTGCTAGGACCTAAAGAACTATATTGACTAGATATGGAGTGGACAACCTTGTCTTGTTCCTGATTTCAATAGAATTGCTCGAGTTTCTCTCCATTTAGTTTGATTTTGGCTTGCTGTATATTGCCTTTAATTATGTTTAGGTATGTTCCTTGTATCCCTGCTCTCTTAAAGACCTTTATCATGAAGGGATGATGTATTTTGTCAAAAGCTTTTTCAGCATCTAATGAGTTGATCATGTGGTTTTTATTTTTCAGCTTGTTTATATGGTGGATTAGGTTGACAGATTTTTGTATGTTGAAAAATCTTGCATCTCTGGGATGAAGCCCACTTAAATATGGTGGATGACAGTTCTAATGTGTTTTTGGATTCAATTTGTCAGTATTTCATTTAGACTTTTGCATCCATGGTCATGAGTGAAACTGGTCTATAATTCTCTTTCATAGTAATGTCTCTCTGTGATTTGGGTATCAGGGTAATTGTAGCCTCATAAAAAGTGTTTGTCAATGTTCCTTCTGTTTCTATTGTGTGGAATAATTTGAGGAGTATTGGTATTAGTTATATTTTTGAAAGTCCTGTAAAATTCTGAGCGAAAACCATCTGGTCCTGGGGTTTATTTTTTGTTTGGGAGACTTTTGATTGCTGTTTCTATTTCTTCAGCAGCTATAGGTCTGTTTAATTTGCATATCTTGTCTTGATTTAATTTTGGTAAGTGATATTTATTCAGAATGTTGTCATTTCCTTTAAGTTTCCAAATATTTTAAAGCACATGTTTCCAAAATATGACCTGATGATCCTCTGGATTTCCTCTGTATCTTTTGTTATGTTCCCCTTTTCAATTCTGATTGTGTTAATTTGGATATTCTCTCTCTGCCTTTTTGTTAGTTTGGATAAAGGTTTGTCTATTTTGTTGATTTTCTCGATGTACCAACTCTTTGTCTCATTGATTCTTTTATTTTTTTTTCTTTGTTTCTATTTTGTTAATTTCAGCGTTCAGTTTTGTTATTTCCTGCCATCTAGTTCTCTTAGGTGAGTTAGCTTCTTTTTGTTCTAAGATTTTTCAAATGTTCTGTTAATTCACTAGTGTGGGATTTTTCCAACTTCTTTATGTAGGCGTTTAATCCTATGAACTTGCCTCTTAACACTGCTTTCGCTGGGCGGTGGTGGCGCACACCTTTAATCCCAGCACTTGGGAGGCAGAGGCAGGCGGATCTCTGTGAGTTCAAGGCCAGCCTGGTCTAGAAGAGCTAGTTCCAGGACAGGAACCAAAAAGCAACAGAGAAACCCTGTCTCGAAAATCAAAAACAAACAAACAAAAAAAAAAACACTACTTTCATTGTGTCTCTTAAATTTGGGTATGTTGTGTGGTCATTTTCATTTGTAATAGCCAGAACATAGAAACAATCTTGATGGTCCTCAACCGAAGAATCTATAAAGAAAATGTGGTACATTTATGCAGTAAATACTACTCAGAGGTAAAATAAAGATGACATCTTTAAATTTGCGTGAAAATGGACAGAAGTGGAAGAAAACATGCTGAGTGAGGAAAACTGGACCCAAAAAGATGAACACAGAATGTATCCTAAGTGGATAGGAGTTGTAAGGCAAAGAATAACAAGCCTGTAATCCATGACCTCAAGAAGTTAGGTTACAAAGCGAATACTAAGAGAAACATACATAGACTACCCTGAGAAGGGGAAGTAGACTGGATCTTCTGAGAAAATTGGGAGTGTGTGTGGAGGGGAGAAGGGCTTTTGTGGGGAGGATTTATTCCTGCCTTAATGCAATGTGCTAGACTTCGTTGATTCCCCATGTGAAGCCTTACTCTCTCTGAGGAATGAATGGTAGTGGGATGAAGGAGAAAGTGGGTGGAGGGAGCAGGAAGAGGAGAAGGGGTGGTATATAGGAATTGTATGTAAAATGAGAAAAAATAGTTTTTTTAAAAAAATAAATAAATTGATATCAAAAATGTTATAGAGAGATGATTTGAGGATCATTTCTCTATAGAAATAATAGATGTTATGACAAATATGTATGAAAGGATACTCTTGGCCTGACAAGCCCATATGAAAACAATTCTCACCACCTCTCAGTTTAGACTATGACTTTAGTAATGGATGGATGGTTGCCTATCCACTGCTTCTCATATTCAAAGCATTAACACCTTAAAACAATATTCTTGTCAGTTTATTAGACAAGGTAATTTCTAAACAGTGGCCCAACAGCTTGCCTGCACTTAGGTGTTTAACAATCAAAGTAGCCAAGCTGTTATAAGAACTTGAAATAAAGTTCTTGATATTAATACTCCCAAGACATCTTTCCCACTATATACAAAACATACAGATCCTTTTATGAATTTGTAAGTCATTTACAAGAAGCTATAGAGCAGCACATTGATAATAAAGAAACTGCTTCTGCCTTGTCTCTTTCATCTGCTTATTAAAATACAAATTTTATCTTACAAAGATTCATTGTGTAGTTGCTAATGCCTCTCCTACTATTGTTGACTTTATACAAGCATCCCAAAAAACAATGGCACAGAGGAATTCTGGCAGTTTCCTTGTGGCTTCCTTTATGTTTCAAATGTGCAGGGTAATAAAAATTCTCAAATATAAACAAAAACTTGACAATCAGCCTAGGATAGTAAACCTTCCTCTAACATACCTGCAAAATTTAAAATGCAATTTCACTGATCCAGTCAGTGTCAATTTAGATGTGGTGACAAAGACAATCCAAATTCAGAAAGCAAGCAAATGAGCAACCAGGGCTGTTGATGAACAGGACCAGGCCTCTTATATTCCCAGGTTGTAATCCCATTGCTCTGCCCCTAATGCTATCTATGGAGAAGCCCAATTTGTTGCCAAAGTAGCAAATTCTATACCCTCTGGATTCCACAGCTTGACAATCCTTAATCCTAAAAGAGTAAGAAATTTGATTGCTACTGCCAATAACAATTCATGACCACAATGTATTAATAACTAAGACATACAATTTGATTTCATAGAACAGCTTTAAGAACCTAAACCAACATCTATAGTGACCCCTTCCAACAAACTGCCCTTGCTTCTTTGTAAGAAATCAAACTGTACTATGAAAGGGGCTTTTGTTTGCCCAAATGCTGTTGATTTGCATTATACTGACATGATGATAGCTTTTTTCCAGCTACTCCAACAACAGTTCCAGTCCCTAAGGTTTAAGAGATATTTATATCAGAATGTATTGCTAAAATTTGTCCTATTCTTTACAAGAAAGAATCATGTCAGTGGAGGTGGTAACTGGTAAACATCTGGTCAAGTTATGGCCTCCTCTGAGGCACCCTGAATCAGCATCACTTCCTTCCCAGCAGTCCTTTTGAAAAGGTGACAAAGACCCTAAAAGACCGATTGGACAGAAAAAGGGACACTCCTAGTGATTATTTATCAACAAGTCTCCAGGCTAATCTCTCTGTCATTTCAGTCTAATGGCAGCTTCCTGCTCCTCAGAGGTTTCTGACACACTCAGGATGTGATTGCAACACTGTGTCTTGTACAGTAATAGACTGCAGAGTCTTCTGATGTCATGCTGCTGAGCTCCATGTAGGCTGTGCTGGAGGATTTGTCTGCAGTCAGTGTGGCCTTTCCCTGGAACTTCTGAGCATATTTAGTTTCACCATTTCCTGGATCAATCCTTCCAATCCACTCCAGTCCCTGACCAGGCTTCTGCTTCACCCAGTTCATATAGTAGCTAGTGAAGGTGTATCCTGAAGCCTTACAAGACATCTTCACTGAAGCCCCAGGCTTCACCAGTTCAGCCCCAGACTGTACCAGCTGGATCTGTGAGTTCACACCTGCAGAGAGAAAGGCAGAGTGGATGCCATTGTCACCTGAGAGTGCAGAAATCTGTATTTAGGGAGAGTGTTACCTGTAACTGCTGCCAATAGGAAGAGGACAATATAGCTCCATCCCATGCTGAGGACCTTGTGTGCTCAGTCACTGTGGACAGGACACTGTTCGTATGATGTTATGGTGTGTGTGCATCCCTGTATTTACCACCATAAGCTCATGTGATTTGCATATTCATGAGCAGGGACTTCTTAGATAAGTACCTAGTCGAGTTGGAGAAAAAGGAGGTACAGGCACCTGGGTCAGGTAGCAAGATGCTAAGGTTCAAATCCTAATCCTTTCTGGGGAAATGATCTCATACTTCTTCCCTGATCACTGTGCAGACCCTCTGTAAATAACATCAGGGCCTAAGATCTCAATTGATTCAGGCCTGAAACAGTTACTCGCCTTGACACAAGGTTATCAGATTGTTTATCAGGTGATTGTGATTATGAAGATGATGGCCATTAGTAATTACAAAACCTGCTAAATTTGCAGAATTTGTAGCATCCTTTCAGATATGTACAATTTATATTTGCCTTTGCACCTTGTTAAATATAAAATAAATAAAAACTGACATAAATGATCAAAAGGTAGAAACATTTGTATATCAAGATTTATTACATCACTTTCTCTAATAACTGAATTATAGAAACAATTATAATTGTAAACAGATGATTCCAGCAAGAAAATGTGTTTATATATGCAATACAACAGAAATATTTTATCTAAACGAAATAAAGAAATGGCATCACTCTCAGGAAATTCAATGCAACTCTAGATAGTTATATTAGTTAAAGACCCACTTAGAAATGTAGACATTATAAGAGTATTTAAATATTAGTTTTTAGATTTTGTGACAAAACATTTACATATACCAATACATAAAAATGTTTGAAAGAAACTGTCTAGCATAATAAGTGGCAAAACAGGTGGGTCAAGAAATAAAAGAGTAGAGATTTTCAGGAAATTTACACAGTCTACAATATCATTTTGATTGAAAATTCTAAATATATATTAAAATAGTTACAGTATTCAAGATGACTTTCCTTATTCTTAATTATTGATGTATGCTCTGTTTTATGATCAAATCTACCATAAATATGTCCCTCTGGCCCAACTTGGGACCTTCCAATTAATCTCTTTCTCATATTCCTGACCTCTTCTCTTCATTAACACAGTGAGTCCAATCAGTGCTATATGCACACATAGAGGTGGGGTCATTCACAAGTACATAGAGAACCTACAAAAATCGTACAAAGAAAAGTGATTATATCTTCTTCATCATTCTTGGAAAGCAAACAGACTTCCACATTTGTGTGGGCCTTCATGAGTCCTTCTCCATCATGTTGTAATATTTTAAAATATTATTGCAGTTTATTTAATGATGAGAGCAGTGCACACATGCATGCAGGTTGATACATTTGCCCCGGGGCAATTTAAGAAATTAAATTTTTGTATTCTACAATGTGGTTACAAGCAATCAAAATAGTATAGTCAAGACTGCCAGTAGACACCTTTACATGCTCAGCAGTTTCACAGCCTCTCAGTCTATCTTCGTGTATGGCTGGATTTGTTCATGTCTTATGCTGGAAACTATAGTGAGTGTTAGTTCGTACGGGCAATTGTCAAGTCAAGTATTAACATTTTAATTCCATGAGTTTCTGCCCTATATTCTGGATCTTACATTCTTTCCAGTGCCTCTTTGTGATGATCATTGTGCTTTAGGTGGGCGGTTAAATGACTCATCTAAGATTGTGTACTCAAACATTCATTTTCAGCACTTTGAGTAGTCATGAACATCTGCATTAATCATGAAACTCAGCACAGAAGAAATTCTGGGATCAAGGTTGAGAGCAGCATCAACTTATGGGAAACAGGAATAGATATTTGTAAGACAGTTTGACAATATGGCCATTAGCGATACAAGTAGGATCTACTAGGTAAGGAGTATGTCATCTCCAGTCACGGGTAATTTTTAACATGTTTACCAAGAATGAATACTTTCCTATGAATTTGACCACAAATCCAAGTAGAAAGTAGTTCATTATTACATAACTACTAGGCACTAGTGGATACATCTTAGCTGAAGTCTTATATTGTAGATCAAGAGGTCTGCTACTGTGTAAGATCCTTGATGTCTTTTCTCTCCCTTCTGGCTGCCTAGCTCCTTGCTACACAAGAAAAATTACCCAGCAGGGAGAATTTCCTGTTTAGTACAAAGTTGGTTTCTAATGAAATAATGAGTATTTGAACACAGAGAGCTGCATGGGTGAACTGTTCTGCTCCCAGAAACAATGAGTTATTAATGAACATCTCTATATGGGCACAAGACAACTCTCTATGATTTAATAATCAGGGAGGTCCCACAGGTGTTGAGAACAGTATGAGGTATTGCCAATGTCCTTATTTGTCTACATTAGCTTAATAGTTAGACCTTGTTTCTGAGAAAGAATTTAAAGTGTAAATAAATCTTAAGAGCTAGAAGTGGTGCATAACTCCAAGGAAAGAGTGTCTTCCAGACACTACAGGACTGATGCACATATGAAGTCACAGAGACTGGAAAGCATGCTGAGTCTGCACAGATTCAATCCTAATGGGGTCCCAATGTTCAGAGAAGAACACGGACACAGGCTTTCCTCCCCTAACCAAGAAGTTCTATAATTGATACTTCCTTGCAAAGGAAATGTTTGTTTTCTCTGTTGAAGTATTATTGGGTGTACTTACTTCACTCAGGACCAGACACAAGTCTTTCAGTAGATGGCTAACACAGAATAAATGCAATATTTTACAGATATTTTCTCTGATTTCACATTGTATGTTATTTCTTCAGTCTTACTAAACTTTTACCTATATAACATTGTCTCATTTTGAGTATTGTTATGGTTTATATGTATCTAAGTTCTTGTTTTTATTCTTACATAAATATTTTTTATTTTAATTTTTCTTTTTTGACTGCTTTCTACAGAGAGAAGGAGAGGGTGTGAAATTGGGGAGAAGATTTAGTAATTAGAATATATTGTACATTTTTAAAAAACTGTATAAAGTAAATAAAACTGAATGAAATTTTAAAAAATATACAAACTGGTGAGCAGTTTGACAAGGTATCTTTACTGTGTATGACCATGGAAAGATCATATGTCAATCACAGCTGGTACAGGTCAGTTAACAGACTTTAAGAAAGGAAACCACAAAGGATACAGAATCCCTTCCACACTTCACCCCATCTCTATAATGGAGATTCTTAGCTTCATTGTGCCCCCTGCTGGTCCTTTGCTCCTTTGCAAGTTGATTTGTCATGGCTTGCACTGAATTTGCACAGTCTGGTTTAACTTGTAAAATAGGCATTAAATACAGAGTTCAGCTGCATATGTAAATGGATTTTGATTAACCTGGAGATGTTGAATACATGTTTCAGACACTGATTTTAGATTATGCCTTTATAATTATCAATGTCCCTCTCAAAACTAGGTTTAACCCTGGTGACAGTTATATGTATCCAACTCTAGCAATTCCTCCTTGTAACGTGGTGGCCACAGGAAAGAGCAGAATCTTGGCTGCCTTCAGTATCTATACCTGGGGCAGAACACCTGAAGCCAGAGAACCACACAGCTCCCACCTGTTTCCAGACAAAAGAGCCAACAGAACAGGAGGCACCACTGTTGTACCTATAGATCAGTTAACAACTTTACCTTTAGAAAAATATATGAAGAAGTAAGTAGAAATCTAGTGAATTCGTTGGAAGACATTGCTGGCTGATCAGATGTTACAGTCTACCATAGCCTAGGAGCATTCTCTAAGTTGGGCAACATGGAGGTCTCCCTGCTCACAGCAAAAGTTTCCTGCTTTCTACTTAAGATTATCTGGGAGATGTCTCGAGGTACAGGATTCCTGACTTATCTCAAGGGTTACCCTTAACACATTTCATGCAAGTGTCCTTCCTTTGATGACAAATATAGTAATTAGGCAGGTGCTCTTGAAATTTTGACAGGGCCATGCTTCTACTAACTGTATGATAGAACCTTGCAACTTAATGCAAATTATGGTATCTCCCTCAGACAACCCAATTCTCCATATTCCCATACTCTGGGATAAAGTTGAGTTCTTTCATCAAAAAAATTCCCCCAGAAGGCAGTCTCCATTCCTGTTAAAAGCCACATACACAGCTTTCTTTCAACACGTCTTCCCCTTTGTCCTCAAGGCCTGTTAGACAACAAACCAACATGAATAAGAGGACACTCACAGATTGTATACCATGACTCAATCTGTTTCTCATGTTGCACTTTTGACCGGGCTCATAAGTATGCTTCCATTCTACCTTAACTCAGTTATGGTCAGCAGTTCAAATACCAGATATGGCTAACATCTAGACCTGGTATTTCAGGTATGAAGACACAGATCTGGTTGGACAATATCTGGCAGAGAATGTGTTAGTAAAGATTTTTAAAAGCTGAATGTTTTCACTGATGAAGACTGTTTTGGATTGTGCTCCCAGGAATGAGAGAAGCTAACAGCACTATGTAAGATTTTGTGGGCATGTGTGGTTAAATCTCAAAAAAATGGAGTTTAATAGAATCAAACAAAAATGTGGCTATAAAAAGTGAGGCTATTCACATATGTTTTTCTCTAACTTCAGGATCACAAATCATATGGACCTAACATTACAAGATGGAGGATACTGGACCAGTGAAATGCATGGCTTGTTTCCAATCACATGTCAGAATTTTTGTGATGTCCTCTGGACTGTCAGAACACTGAGAAACACCTTGAAGACAAGACTCTCTTTCCATGCAGAGGAGCAGTTGTCCCTACAATCCAGGGTACTGCAGGAGGTGGTGGTGCTCCTCTTGGATTTCAGCATCTTTGCTCTCCTGGTTAAAGTGAATGATGGTGTGCTATATAGCCCAGCATCATGGGATGATAGTGACTATTGTGAGTGTGAATGTGCAGCAATTTTGGCTAATTGAGCAGTGTGGATTTACTAAGATATTTTCTTCTCCTCACTAGATACATTCAATAAAGCCTTGATACAGTGACATCATAAAAAATGGCTTGAGTCTTTTTTCTAAGTTAAATTAATATGAGAATCACA